TCTAGAAGATACTGTGTAAGAAGGATATAAGACATTAAAAAGAATTCATAGGTTAAACTGCCTAGGCCTAAAATCTTATTTTGTAGGAAGAATTTTAGTTGTGTTTTTATTTTTTTAATAGATATTACACTATTTAGATTTTCTGTATTCTTGTATTATTTCTGGACATTGGTGTTTTTCTAGAAATTTGTTTGTGTCATCTAAATTTAAGAATTTTTGGCATAAAATTATTTATATCATTCCCTTACTAGCATTCTAATTCTACAGAACTTAGAGTAATATACCCATTTTATTTCTGATAACTGGATATTTGAGCCTACTTTTTGTTGTTCAGATTTGCTAGATGTTCATTATATATATATATATATTTTTTTTTTTTTTGGTTGTTGTTGTTGTTGTTGTTAAGTGCCATCGAGTCGTTTCTGACTCATAGCGACCCCATGCACAGGAGAACGAAACACTGCCTGATCCTGCGCCAGCCCCACAATCCCTGCTATACTTGAGCCCATCATTGCAGCCACCATGTCAGTCCATCTTGTTGAAGGCCTCCCCCTCTTTCGTTGACCCTCCACCCTACCAAGCATGACATCCTTCTCCAGGGAATGGTCCCTTCTTACAACATGACCAAAATAGGTGAGACGAAGTCTGGCCATTCTTGCTTCCGAGGAGCATTCTGGCTGCATTTCCTCCAGGACAGATCTGTTAGTTCTTTTAGCAGTCCATGGTACTTTTAGCATTCTTCGCCAGCACCACAACTCAAAAGCATCAACTCTTCTTCGGTCTTCCTTATTCATTGTCCAGCTCTCACATGCATACCAGGTGATTGGAAATATCATGGCTTGTGTCAGGCGCACCTTAGTCCTCAAGGAGATATCCTTGCTCCTCAGCACTTGAAACAGTTCCTTCGCAGTTGACTTTCCCAATGCTACACATCGTCTAATGCCCTGACTGCTGCTTCCGTTGGCATCGATTGTAGAACCAAGCAATGTGAATTCCTTGACAACCTCAATCTTCTCTCCATTGATTGTGATGCTGCTCATTGGTCCAGTTGTGAGGATTTTTGTTTTCTTTATATTGAGACGTAATCCATACTTCAGACTGTATTCTTCAACCTTCATCAGTAGGTGCCTTAAGTCATCCTCACTTTCAGCAGGCAAAGTTGTATCGTCTGTGTATCTCAGGTTGTTAATGATTCTTCCTCCAATCCTGATACCACGTTTTTCTTCATATAGTCCAGCTTCTCGGATTATTTGCTCAGCATATAGATTGAATAAGTGTGGAGAAAGAATACAACCCTGACGCACTCCCTTCTTGATTTTAAACCATGTAGTGTCCCCTTGTTCTGTTCGAACGACAGCCTCCTGGTCAAGGTACAGATTCCTCATGAGTACAATCAAGTGCTCGGGAATTCCCATTCTTCTCAATGTTATCCATAATTTGTCATGATCCACACAATCAAATGCCGTTGCATAGTCAATAAAACACAAGTAAACATCTTTCTGGTATTCTTTGCCTTGAGCCAAGATCCATGTGACAACACTATGATATCCCTTGTTCCACATCCTCTTCTGAATCCGGCTTGAACCTCTGGAAGTTCTCTGTCAATATACTGCTGCAAACATTTCTGAATTATCTTCAGTAAGATCTTACTTGCATGCGATATTAATGATATTGTTCTGTAATTTCCACATTCTGTGGGATCACCTTTCTTTGGAATGGGCACAAATACGGATCTCTTCCAGTCAGTTGGCCAGGCAGCTGTCTTCCATATTTAATTACTTGGATATCAGCTTTTGTCTTTCATTAGCTCTACTGAACAGTTGTTTGTTTTATTTCCTTATAATTTTTTATGGTATAGTTTGTAATTCTTTTTCTTGCTTCTTGGGATGTGTAAAAACCAAAAACCAAACTCACTGCCCTCGAGGCGATCCCGACTCATAGTGACCCCTCCTTGGTTTTCCGAGGTGGTATCTCTAGGGAAGTAGATTGCCCAGCCTTCCTTCTGAGGAGTGGCTGGTGGGTTTCAACTGCTAGCTTTCTGGTTAGCAGTCAGATGCCTTAGGCACTACTGCTCTACTGCTATAATCATTCTTCTATCCCTTGGTTGCAAAGAGATTATAAATTTGTGGAAAGCAGCTATCTTTGAGTGAAATCCATGTCGCTGTCTTTGAAGCACCATTATGTAAATCTGCTCTCACTTTGAAAAGATTAAGGAGCTCTGGTGGCGTAGTGCCTAAGGCATATTTGACTACTAACCAGAAGGCTGGCAGTTCAAATCTATCAGCCTGTCCTTGGATAGAAGATTGGGCAATCTACTTCCATAGTGATACTGCTTCAAAAACCCAAGGAAGGCTTATCGTGAGTCAGATCTGACTCGATGGCAGTGAGTTTGGTTTTGGTTTAGTGCATCAGTGGTTAAACATTCCACTGCTAACTGAAAAGACCAGCGATTAGAACACACCAACCACTCCACAGGAGAAAGATGAGGCTGTCTGATTCAGTAAAGATTTACAGCTTTGGAAATGCTATGGAACAGTTCTACTCTGTTGTATAGGGTTTCGATGAGTCAGAATCAACTCGAATGGCAGTAGGTTTTTGGTTTTGAAACAACTGGACCAGGTCTTATCCACAACAAATTCTTCATGTGCTGCACATGCAGCTTTTAAATCATTGAATATATCAAGCCTTTTCTTGCACTAAAGTAAGGCTAAATAAAAACTATATGCATTTGTTCCAAATGACCTACAAATTCTTAAAGACATTGTTAGGAACAGATCTCATTCATAACCCAGGGACTGCTTGTATGTTAGAAAAGAAATCACATTTCCAGATGAAGTAGGAGCTCCCCACTTTGAATGTGTGTGGCTCTCCACAGTCTTGTCAGTAACCCAATTTCACACATCAGGCTTCTGAAAGGGCTCACTACACCACTTGTGAGTCTCCCATTCCAGGACTGAAACCTGTAATTTTTCCTGTTTTGGTTACCATGATGAATCACTCAAATTGTGAAAATTTTGGTTTGTTTCTATTTTACTTTGTAGGCCATGACAGAACTGGTTTGAAGCCTTGCTTTAATTAAAGGACAAATAGGAGTTGTCTGTAAGTTGGATATTTATAAGCCAGGGACTGCCTGTATCAGTATAAACCTGTATTTAGGCTTGGCTTTTGTTGCTTTCCACAAGTTGATAATCTGTTTGCAACCAAAGAATAGAAGAATGATTATAGCAGGTTCATTCAGAATAAGCCAAAACTTGAGTTATTATTAAGTCTAACAAAAAACCAAACCCACTGCTGTTGAGTCGATTCGACTAATAGCGACCCCTCCTTGGGTTTCCGAGGGGGTGAGGCTGTATCTCTACTGTAAGTAGATTGTCCGGGCTTCCTTCTGAGGAGGGTTTGAACCGTCAACCTTTTAGTTAGCAGTGAAATGCCTTAGGCATTACCCCACCAGAGTTCCCATTAAGTCTAATAGAAATTTTTATTTTTATTATTTCCTGGATAATGTAAGTCCCTAGGCACTTGAACATCATCTGCCCATTGCTTACCTCATTTTTTATTGTCATTGTAATTTCTTATGTATTTAAACCTCCATTATATATTAATATTGATATTTTATTTTATAGTATTTATTTTTATTCATTTTTTCTGTGTATTTTTATTTCCTCATGTATCATATTGCTTCCATGGGATCCTTTACTTCAGGTTAAAGAATTCTTTTTAAATACTACCTTTATTTCCTATCTGCTGTGATGAATTCTCTCATATTTCTTTTTCTGGTCACAAAATGTCTCTATTTTTATTTTGCCTTCATTTTTTGAAGGATATTTTCACTTGGATTAGAATTTATAATTCCTGGTTGGTGTTTATAATACATCAGCATTTTAAGCATCAGTACCTCCTTTTTGGAATTTTATATTTTATATTTTTGTCACTTGGGATTACTGAGTCATATGGTATGTGTATGTGTAACTTTTTAAGAAACTTCCAGTGGCTCTTCTCAACAGCAGTGTATATAATTTCCATTTATTTCACATCCTTGCCAGCACTTTTTTTTTCTTATAGATGATTTGAGGTCTGGGGAAGTTAAAATCTTTTAGTCATTTGTTATCAATACTGTTGATTTTATGCTCACAATGTACTTGTTTCTTTAGGAAATTAAATATTGTTGCATTTTCTTTTACTTCTTTATAGTAATTTTTTAATCTTCATTTCTAAATCATGTGGAATTTATTTTTATATGTATGTGAAATGAGTGTTCAACTTACTTTCTTAACCTAGGAGCCAGTTTTCTTAACATTATTACCTGAATAATCCATCATACCATCATTATTTTGAGGCACTTGTTTTAACATTTATTGTGTTATTATATATACCAGAAAAAAAATTTAAATCCATGAAGAGAAATACAAGTAAAAATGGAAACAATACTGCAGTTATTCAAATAGAAGGAAAAGGAACCAGTAGAGAGAGTGGTATTCCAGACTTTAAGAAATGGAGGGAGAATAGTCAACAGAATCAAATATCTAGATAATATCTAGATAAAATCATAATAAATATGCAAGGTATAGGGAAATGGCCCATCAGTTTTGACTGTTTACAAGCTTTGGTGGACAATAATAAGAGCTCTGGTGGTGTAGTGCCTAAGGCATTTGACAGCTAACCAGAAAGCTGGTGGTTCAAACCCACCAGCCACTCCTCAGAAGAAAGGTTGGGCAATCTGCTTCTGTAGTGATACCGCTTCAGAAACCCAAGAAGGGTCGCTATGAGTTGGATCCAACTAGAGGACAGTGAGTTTGGTTTGTTTTATTTGGTGATAATAATAGATAAATTTCAGTAACGTTAACAAACAGTTGGTGAGATTGAAGTTTGATGAAGAATAAAGGTGTAGAAAGTGGAAAAAGACCTTTTTCCATAGCGTATTTTAGAGTGAAGTACTAAAAATATTTTGAAAGCTGTAAAGTATTATGTATATGTGAAATATTTCCAATATGTTTTCACAGAATTCAGAAGTGTCTGTGTTTGAAGTTAACATTCGATTTATTGGAGGCCTACTTGCAGCATATTACCTTTCAGGAGAGGAGGTGAGCAAAATCAAGTAATACATTGTTTTGGGAAAGAAGGCTTGTGAATGAAATTTAATAAAATGAAGGATTTCTCTAGTAACATTGTTTTTCTAAATTGACTAATATTGAACTAATCTAAAGATTTGCTGAAAGACCTGGATGTTTCAGGTAGGAATAATTTTTTTTTTTTCTTCATTTTGGTAATCTCAGTAAACTCATTGGAGATCCTAGCTGTATGTCTCCTTTGCAGTGGGAATCCTTCTGTACTACTTAGTTGTGAGGATATAATTAATTTCCTTAATTAGTCAACAGTATCAAATATCTAGATAAAATCATAATACATTTGTGAGCTGTACTGTACTATGAAGTAATAGTTTCTTTCATATTTTGTGAAAATTTTTTTTGTCTTTCAGACAATTTTATTAGAAACTTCTGACAGGGTTTTTAAAAATGTTATGATTGCTGTTACATTAATTGTATGGTTCAAAGAAAAGGGGAATAGAAAACTAGTAGGACCAAAATTAGAGAATCAGTCAGGAAGAATTAATATGATGCTTGAAAACCAAAAATTAGTTATTAAAACTGACCGTTCAGAAATTAAATACAGTTTATTGCTGTAGATTAAAAAACAGAACACAAAAACTGAATTACTGGTGCAATTTACATAGACATATTCCAGACCTGTGATGAGGAAGTGGGTATGAAAATTCTTTTTCATTCCTCAGATGAGTAAAGGGATGGAATTGTAGAGTGAGAGAGAGAAGCTGAAGGAAGAAGTTGCAAATAATTTATATTTGTTTTCTGATAAATTGCTTGTTTATATTTTTTGCCCACATATATTTTTAATTGATTGTGGATCTAAATTATTTTTAACAGCCTTTATAAGTATAATGTTAGACATAAATTTTTTGTAGACACTATTAGCTTGAAGAAATTCCCTTCTTTCCTTAGTTTCCTGAGAATTTTTAGGAATGGATAATGACTGTTGTAAAATGTTTTTGTGGCATTTAATAAGTTGGTAGGTATTATAGTTTTTATTCAATTTGTTGATAGGGTGAATTATATTGGTTGATTGTTGAAGTCAAACCAGCCTTGTATTTTCCAGAATAAACCTCATTTCTTGTTAGTTACCAGGTTTTCTCTGACTGATGGTGACCTTACATACAACAGGATGAAACCTTACTTAGTCATGGTATATCCTCTTTTTTAGAACTCAGCTGGATTTGATTAACTAATATTTTTTGAGAATATTTGTGTCTATGTTCCTGACACAGAAATGTTCTTTCTCTGTGTGCTCTGTGTGTGTGTGTTTTGTATAAGGATAATGCTAGTTTTGTAAAAGGAGTTGGGAAGTATTTCCTCCTTTAGTTTTTCCTGGACAATTTTGTGTATAATTAGTATTTTTCTTTCTTAAATGTCTAGTAGATGAAATCTGGAGAGTTTTGTTTTTAATTAGAAGTTTTCAAAATACTCGATTTCTTTGATATAGTACTCTTTAGGATACTTCTTGGGTGGTTTTATAGTTTATGTCATTTAGGGAATTTGTCAATTTTCTCTAGGTTGTCTAATTTGTACATAAAATGTTGTTTGTAGCATACACTTTTAACCTTTACCTATTTGTAGACTGTTTTGTGATGAATCCTACTTTGTTTCTTTTTTTCTGTCAATCTGGCTACAGGTGTGTCTATATTACTGTTTTTTTTTTTTTCTAAGAAGTAATTTTTTGTTTAATTAATTTTTTATTTCAGTTGGTTCTGTTCTGATGTCACCCCATTTCGTTTCTTATTTGTGTTATTTGTATTCTCTCCCTTTTTTCCTTTGTTAAATTTGCCAATGGTTTGTCAGTTTTATTGATCTTTTCAAAAAACCAACTTCTGGTCTTGTTGATTTTTTCTATTGCCCTTCTATTTTCTGTTTCAGTGATTTCTGTTTGAATCTTGATTATTTCCTTTCTTCTGGTGACTGTAGGCTTTTCTTGCTGTTCTTTTTCTAATTGTTGGAGATGTTGGTTTAAAGTGTTGATT